ATGCTATTTACATCTTAAACGAAATCTTTATGGAATGTTCATTTATTTACATAGTTAATTAATTAATTTGTAGAAGTATAGTTAATATTTATATTATTCATCATCGAAGAATAATAGATCCTATGAGAAATATTATACGTATCATTCAAACATTATATAAAACATAGTTAGTATGATTTTGGACTAAAGCAAAGAAAACTGAAATAGTATAATCATTGTTATAAATGTATATGTACAAGTGCATGTGCATGTATGTGTACCTATTGTAACTCCAACCTAAGCCTTCATCCACATTCACAGTCATAATCAGATTGTCGTTGTTCTGTTATGAAAACTACCACCAGTGACCTTATACTGAAAGCGCAAATACTAAAGAGGAATCAAGCATAAGCAGTGATACATTTATAAAAAAATAAATTTGAGACTTCAGTTTAACATAAATTTAGATTCGATTATGCTTTGAAGAACACTTACGTTGCTCTTTTCTTTGAGGTGATCACAAGTCGTAATAATAATTTGCTCATTGGTGTAAAAATTGGCAATAAACACGGATGCTGTGAACCAACTTTATTCATGACATAATTTTTACCTCGTTCTATTAGAGAAATTATGTCATGTGATCTGAGTGACAATTCGTTAACATCCTTTGCCCAACATGCTTGCAATGATTCTTCATTTGCCTCTTCCAATGTTTTCATTTTCCCACCAGTTATTGTACCAGTAAATACAAATCGAAACCAGGAGCCAGTCGCACATTCAATTAAAATCAACGTCTCTGGTTTCAATATAAGGCCAGTTTCCTCTAATACCTCTCTTTTAATAGCATCTATCAAATTTTCATTAGGTTCAACTCTACCAGCTGGTAAATACCATTTCCCATTACAACTAGCTTTTGCCTCTTGTATCATTAATACTTCTCCTTGTTTATTTATGACTACAGCAGCAACAATGTATGTTACAGTTTTTTGGCAAAGTGGTACATATGTACCAGGTAATCCTTTTGGACCTATGACATGTGCCTTGTCAATAATTACAAAGATAAGATAGAGAAAATGTAATAATAATGAATATTGTAAAACTAATTGTTTGAAGTAGCAGACAAAGTAAATTATGTCCAACATATTTTATAGATTATTCCCATGTAATTTTTCGAATATTCAATAATAATTGTTTTTATATAAAACTTCTCAATGCAACATAGATGTAAGTAAACTATCATTCAAAAGGATGAACATTTAATTGAACATAAGATTATATTTTACCTATTTCATTCGCTGCCGCATGGTTAGCTATTTGCGTGTCATCAATTTCTAAAGAATGACCAGCTAATAATAGTTCAATCTCTTTTTCAGTAGTCATCGACATGTCCATAGAATAACACTGATTATAAATTATACGAAAAACAAATATTCGAATTATACTTTAAATATAATGTAACATTACTATTAATTTAACAATAGATAAGGTTATAAACAAAGTGAAAGTGATAATGATCACACATGATGGAATTGTCAGGTACCGACAATCATGCCGACAACTCTGTTACCATTGGCTATCATCTGCTACAACTACAATGAACTACAAGTAACACTGTGCGCGGACGACGGACAATAGCGTAAGACGCCATCTACGCAAAGAATTGTTGTCATACATTCAAAAGTAATTCCTCCGCTTTTGTCTATTACTGACTTATGCAAATCATTGATAAAAGTGATAAAAGTAGTCACAAGTATTATTAATTGAAATGAAGAAGCTATAAATATAAAGGTACACAATTTATATTCAATTCAAGGCAAATCGTTAAAAGAGGCGATTGAGATTACTTTTGTTAAACATTCTAAGTCGTCTTTGCGACTTAATTATTCTTGTAAAAAGAAGGGGTATTCTTTCGCTCAAATAATTCGAGTATTTCAATACATTATGAAACATAGGATATTTATTTATTAAGTACAGAGTTCTCTATTAAGTTCGCATTGTGCCCGAAGGGAAGCAATCATTCCATTCGAATGACAAGTTCTCGTCTTCCAGATTCCAAATAGGTACTTTGAAAAGAATTAAACCCAGTCTTTATTTTCCCGTTTCTCCTCACATTCAAAGCTTCCTTATACAGGCATTCTAATAACAATACGCTTGCAAACATCTCGTAACATTGGCTGATCTTCATTACGTTTTTGCTAGCATTGAAATAGTACACTTTCGTTCTTATAAACGTTGAATTGGACAGGTGTGGACAGGCTAGATTTCTGCTCAATTGGTTCTTATAAATTGTAAACACTACTGAACAGATCCCTGCAAGGAAAAGCTGGGGGCAGCACTAGTATGGAGAACACGCAAAAAAACCAGGCTCTGAGCACTATCATTCCTTCTCTGTTATCAAGTTATTATGCGTATACCGTGTACTTACCCTCAAACCCCTTAAAGTTATGCGATCCTGCATGCAACGGTCTTGCAGTAATTTTCACGCATGATGTAATATGAAAAGTGTTTACATAGGATATCAAATTAAGGTGCCGAAAAATGGAAGCTTTAAGCGTATTAATTGCTATAGCTTTGATTCATTGTTCACTCTTCTTCTTCGATACAATTTTTAAGGTAGGATATGCCGAAAGAAATTAGGCACAGTTTTGGACATAAATGTACAATCATAGAAATAGATTTATACATGTATATGAATTACAAATGTTATTTATTTCACAGACATGCTCGCATTATCCGTATATTTATTTTTTGAAAAATACCGGCTTAGAGGTGAAGGCGTTCAGAATAAAGTGGTTTACCACGGCATTCAATCGTAAAATAATTAAATGGGGAATGGATCGTTCGAAATTTTGGACCGCCTGGTTCAATGCAGGAGTCGTTGTCAGTGTCATTCTGCTGCCTTTGGCAACAATCGCAGTTTTAAGAATGACATTCAATATATGGACCAGTGGGCCATCTTTTGATAATGCTAATTCTGAACCACTGTTGGAACCTATGGTAAATTGCATTTCTTTGGGAATTCGTTAACAATTTCATTATTAAAAATATGATAAATTTCCATTACATAACGGGATTAGTCAGAAAATATGTTCTCTTATTTTTTTTTTTACAGATACCTGGGATAGACATGTCCTTTAATGAAATTGGATATTATATCATTACATTAGCAGTTTGTAGTATCATGCACGAGTTAGGGCATGCATTAGCTGCAGCAAGAGAAGATGTTCAGTTATTTGGACTGGGAATATTAATTGCTTTTACAATACCTATAGCTTATGTAAACATGAGTAGTGAACAACTTACTTCGTTGCCATTAAAGAATCAATTGAGAGTCATTTGTGCAGGAATTTGGCATAACATAGTACTTGCTACAATAGCTGCAGCTATCCTAATATTTTCCACATGGTTGTTGGCACCATTTTACGCAGTTGGAAATGGAATTTACGTAAAAACAATCTTATCTGTAAGTTTTGTGAATATCAAGTTAAAAATAACGAGTTTACTAAAATTTACGTTTATAGAATTCACCTGTATTAGGTCCGACTGGACTTTTGGAACAGGATCTGATATATGAAATAAATAACTGCCCCGTGAAAAGCACCGAGGATTGGTATGATTGTATACTAAACGCGATTAATCGTCCAGCCCTTGGAT